CAATCATAATACAATTAATATTATAAAATTCATATATTACTCTAATCATATTTATATGCTCTAATTTTCTTAATGAGTTGATTTAGCTTACCAATTTGATTCGGCGAGATTAAACAACCAACATCCTTGTTTTTTGGTTTTTGTCCGTAGAAGTTAGAATTGCGTTTTAGATGTTCCTTTGAAATTCGGTTTAGTAGTTGACGTGGCATTTAACCGAGAATCTCCAGGAAAATTTGTGAAACTTTTTTAATATTCAGAGATTCACTTCACCATTGAAAAAAGAGAGCAGAAAATCAATAAGAAAAGAAGAAGCTAATGGGGGGAGGTTTTTTTAAGCCTGGTTTTTAAATATAAAATTATTAAAATACACACTTTTTCTTTTTTTTTATTTATTTTTTTACTTTTTCTTTCATCTTTTTAATCAATTTTTATTAATTTTATATTTAAACACTCTCTCATCATTTTAAAAACACTCTCCAAAAGTTCTTATTTAAGCAACTCTTTCTTCTTTTTACTCAACTTTTATTAATTTTATATTTAAATACACCTATTATCTTCTCTTTTTACTCAAATTTTATATTTCAATATACCCTACAAAAATACTCTCTTTCTTTCTTTTACTCAAATTTTAATAATTTTATATTTTAAAAAATCTTTAAGCACCCACCATTGATGATGATTAGAAAACTTGTGAGAACGTAACAGTGACGCGTTCGTATCTCCTTAACAAAATCCCAACGGTAACTGGAAATCGCAGCAAACGATTCGGTTTTTCCCTAAAAAGCTTTTAGATCTCAATCAATGAATCATCTCGACGATTCCTATATCAATGGTTGCTTCTTCTAGGGTTCCTTCCTCTGCTTCTACTATCGCCGAATTCGTCATGAATCTTCTTCTTCTTCCTCGACTCGCCTTGTGGTGGGTTTCGTTGCTCTTTACAGTCACAATAGCACAAGACTCTCCTCTCATCACTCGCATCGCCTTCGGATCATGCGCTAATCAAAGCGCTCCACAGGTACATCAAATTTGTACCTTTTCGCTTAGATTCGAGTGATTGAATCTGTTTCTTTTTTGAGATTTTTGTTGTTGTGTGTGTGTTGAAATTAGCCGATATGGAATGCGATAAACAAGTTTGATCCACAATTGTTCATTTGGTTGGGTGATAACATCTATGGAGATATCAGAAAACCCATTAGAATAATCATTGGGAAAGAGAGAACCATTGGGCCATGGAGGAATTCGCCGAGGTTTGTTCCTTCTTCAGAGGAAGAAATGAAATTGAGATACGCAAAAGCTAAGTCTAATCCTGGCTATTCACGTCTCAAGAGAAACGCTAAAGTTATTGGTACTTGGGATGATCATGATTACGGATTGAATGATGCTGGTAAAGAGTTTGATCGTAAAGTCACTAACCAAAGACTCATGCTTGATTTCTTAGATGAGCCTCTTGATAGTCCAAGGTCTGCTCTGCTTTGTTTTGTTCCCCATATTCCTCATATCTATCGACTGTCTTATTCCTCTGTTTATGATCTTATGATGTATCACAGGAGAAAGCAAGCTGGAGTTTATGCAGCTTATACTTTTGGTCCACCTAACCGGAAAGTCAAGGTATCACCAGATCATACCCCAATACTGTTGTTCTTCTTGTTGTCTACTTGGAAAGCAGCGAAATGAAGAGCTTATTATATATGTGAATCAAAGGATTGGATTTTGTATCTCCAGGTTATAATGTTAGATACTAGATATCATAGAGACCCTCTGCGAAGTGACGGGAGTATTTTGGGTGATACGCAATGGGCATGGCTTGAAGAAGAATTGAGAGGTCCGCGTAGTGAAATTACTATCATAGGATCGTCTGTTCAGGTATTCTATAACTTGCTCTTTTGTTTTATCAAAATCCAAAAACCAGTTTTGCTTATTGTGACACTCACTTTCACTGCAAAGGTATTAGATTAGAATTTTGTGTGCGGTTCCATTGTGGCCATAAACTTGAAATTGATTAGGCCGAGTGTCTTATTCCATCTTGAATTGCTCATCCATTAAAATGGTTTCTTGACTTGTCCAGGTGATATCAAATCTTTCAGCTACCACTGGTCCACTCTTTTATATGGAATCATGGGGCCGTTTTCCAAAGGAAAGGAAACGACTTTTCAAACTGATATCAGATACTAAGGTATGGTGATAGTTGTTGACATTTGGGGGCAATGATCCTAACCGAGTCATGTTTCCTCTTTCCATTTCACCATAATTATACGTTGCTATGTCATTACAGAGAAATGGAGTTATATTCATCAGTGGAGATGTTCATTTTGGAGAAATCACGAGATACGATTGTGCTGTTGGGTACCCTTTATATGATGTCACCTCTAGTGGTCTAGTACAATCTGTTGAGAAAGTTTTCCCTCGTCCTTTGCGTTTCATCGTTAGGCTTCTTTTTTGGTATACTCCAAGCACAATGAGAGTTATCAATGAAAACTGCAAATTCAAATCATGCACATACGGTATTATTATACTCCATTGTCTTCTCAGTTGATTCCTTTTATTTTGCTCCTTTGGAGGATTAACATTGGTCACAATATCTTATGATTACTTTGCAGGACAATCGAATTTTGGAGCCATATCGATAGATTGGAATGCAAATCCGGCCACCATAAGGCTTGAAATCAGAGATGTTAACGGAGTGACAGTACTAGGCACAAATGTTTCACTATCCGATCTCCAAGCACGAGGCTCAAATTTACCGACAAATCCAACCACAAAGGGGAAGTCCCAAAGATATTGCACCCTTGAAGTTGAATTACCAGGAACAACCAGATACAGATTAGCAGTTCTCATCTACTTCACCGTTGCTGGTAAGTTATTCTTTGTCACTGCTAATGTACCGATCAAAGAATGTAATGTTGCGAGGGTATTTCTAGAGTACTGATATATGCGTAATTTGGTTGGATTTCGACAGTCTTGGCAATGGCGTTTGTAGGACTGATCATTGGAGTTGTACTGACAATAACAGCATGCGTTTATAAATGCAAGGTCGACTGATTAATTGATTTGGTCCGGTAAAGACTTTGGCTTTTTAATCACATTTTTATCTCTAACCTTTATAATGAACTTTTGAGCCAACAAAAGTGTCTTTTACATCTTGTACAAGTTTGAATTAGTATTAGCTTTGGCTATTTCGTGATTACTATTCGAATATTGTAGTTTCATAACATTAAAACCAGTCGTGGGATGGTATAAACACATGGCTTTTGTTCTTGAGATGGGAATTCAAAGTTTGAGCTGTTATTTTGTTAGTCAAAGCTGCGTATCAAATTGGATTTGTTGGTCTATTTCTTTAGAAAAGATTGTTCATGAATCATGAAGACCAGTTAATTTCTTCTTATTTTTTGGTTAAAGAAGTTGAATTCTATTCGACGACTATTATAATTTAGGGTCATTTGCAAGAATAACCTAAAAAAAAAATCCATTAAATAACTAAAATGAGCATATGTGGCTTAATGGAATACACTAGAATTAGGGCAAATGGTTATAGTTTGAATTATAGTTTTTTGTTGTTGTTATTGAGCCAAATTTCCCATTATATAGTTTCTTTTCTCTCTCATTATTGTCAATCATATGCTACTATTTAGCTAAATGTGGTATGAATTCGTCCATAATCTGCAATTAGAGCCAACTAGCCATCCACGTTAATCTATTATATAATGAGAAAGTTTTCTCTCCATCTAGAGTGTCCACATAGGCAAAACATTTATCTTAAAAAATTGAAATTTTTAAATATTCATTAAATACACACTAAAAATTATAAAATTATTTTCCTATAAAAGTATTTAATGAAAGAAAGTCTAAATTAGGGTTTAGGGATTTGGACCCAGAAGGGCTTTGGTATATTACAAAGCATTCCATTACTTTTCTCATCTATATTAAATTTCAAAACTTGGGCCAAAGAAGGTCTGAATCTTTCACATCGAAAATCATCAAACAAAAAAAATCAAACCTCGTGTGGTGCATTGATACTGCGAAATCTAGAAAGCATCAAACAAAAATCAGACCAAACGGATTCTATGACACACTTCTTTTTATTCTTGAAGATAAAAACATATTATAAAAATATTAAAAAATAAGAGCATCTGCATTGGTGATCTTTTGTGGATGTCTTTAAATATAAAATTATTAAAATTTGAGTAAAAGAAAGAAATATAGTGTTTTTGGTTGAAATAATGGGGTGTATTGAAATATAAAATTAATAAAATTTGAGTAAAGAGAGAAGATAGTGGATATTTTTGGAGAGATAGTATCTTAGGAAAATATAAAAAAGACATTTTGGAGAGAGAATATGAGTGTGTTTAAATATAAAATTAATAAAAGTTGAGTAAAAAGATGAAAGAGAAGGTATAAAGTTGAGTAAAAAGAAGAGAGAGAGTGTTTTTAATATTTGTTTATTTAAAAACATCCACAAAAGATCACAAATGCGGATGGTTTAAGTATACTTTGTATATAGAAAGTGAGACATACAGTCACAGAGTCATCATGCATGAAATCATCATGTAACAATATCATCCTGCAAATAATCAAACACAATTTTTACACAACCTCTACCTATGGATTGAGACGTACTAAACACAAACAAAAAAATAGAAAAATCATTGAGCTTAAGAATCAGAGCTGTGAACAAAAAAACCGTTAATAACAACATTTTTTATTGCAAAACAAACTAATCTCAGTGAACAAATTATAGAAACTCAGTGAACATTTTATGAGCTCACCATCTCTTCATCTCCACTATACATGAGTAAGTTAATCAAAGCAGCTTCTACCAGTAATCTCCATCAGCTATACGTTGTACAAACATCAAGCTTATAAACAAAAAAATTAACCTCAGATAGTTCCGTTCTCCTTTCTATGAAAGATATCTTTTTCTGTTTTCTACACAATAAATATATCATTAAAAAGGTTAAAGAGCTAAAAAAAACTAAGACAGTAAAACCAGAGATTAAATCCATATATTCGTGAAGACGAATTGATTTAAAACAAAAGAACATGAAAACAACAACCAAAACTAACAAACCCTAAAACATACCTTGATAAAGAAAAGAAGACTTGCAGCGAAGAAATAAAACTACGGTGAGTACATTAAGAAATCAACTAAACATATGCATCCATAAAATAT